ATTCACATCACTGTCCCTCTCGTCCACTATTGGCTGTCAAACAAACTATATTGAAGTCTATGAGGGAAAGGAAGATCTGCCCACTAATCGTATTATCCGTATTTGCGGTGATGTATGTCTTCACACACATCTGTAACTCATTTATAATGAATTTGATTATAATTATGGCCAACATTAGGACAATCCGGCGCCCATTCAAAGCCAGGGAAACGTATTGCTCGTGAAATTAGTGACAAATGCTAACAATACTTCGCCCGGATTTAGAGCCCAATACAGCTTCAATAGTCAGGGTATTTGCCATTCAGATCTCGTTTTGTCAATCATTTGCCGCTCAATTGAAATTATAACTGAATTATAATTTTTAACGTGTTTTCAAATAGAAATGAATGCAACGAAACAGATAATGACATCAAACCTGAGGCCACACATCACTTCAGACGGTTCCGTGTATTTCCCAACGGATGGCATACTCTTTAGACATAATAATTGAAACATTTCTAATGTATTGTTATTTCGATAAATAAATATTTAATTTGTATTTTGTTTTCTTGAAAAATAAAATTAACTTCAATTCACAATTAATGCCATGAAATTGAGAAACAAAATGCAATTTAGACTCGGATTAAATTTTAAATAACAAAAGATATATAAAGTGTATAATTGTTGTATATTATACTTTACAGTACTTGTAAGTTATACTGTATAACAGCCTTATATGCATTCATTCCTTAATTGTTTTCAATTAAATTGAATGACAATAATCTTAAATCAATTTACATTTAACATAATTTTGTGATATAAACTTTATATTATGAAGTATTTTTGATAACATTTTAAAGATATGCCCAAATTATTATTGTTTGTCACTTTATATAAAGTTAATTCTAATTTATAATTAATGATATTCACTCTAACTGTATGATTTTGAAGTTGGTGTTTTCAAAATGTTTACTTTCAGATTATGTATTTTGAGGTGCATTTCGAACTCAAATAGCGTCCCATTATTATATACTCTAATTATCACAACATTAAATTTAAATCACATTCAGACTTACATTTAAAAAGTGCATGATCAAGTTTATGGTTACAGTATTTGTTTTGTTTACACAATAATAGCTTAATTGATTTTAGCGGAACAATCGCTTAACAATCAAAACTTGAAATGTTTATCAAATTAACAAATCTTTAAATATGTATTTTTTGTTTCATTCAATTGATTTTATTTTAATATTGACATTTAAGTATAGATTGTTATAAATTTTTATTTTTAATATTTATTTCTATGAATATATACTTACAAGAATTTAATTACGGATAATTTGTTAGGATTTAATTCAATGCTATATCAGTATAATTATTACTTTGGAGTCAATACAAACTTGAATAATTATAAAGCATGTAATTGTATAGCATTTTAATTCAGTGATTGCTTAAAACTATTCGTTTTCATATTGATTCCAAAGTAATCATCTTTATTTTTGCAAATATAATTGTTTATTGCTAATTATACCTGTATGTGATTTAATTTATAATTTGGGATAATCTTTCAATAAGTATTTTCATTTTGTATGAATATTTATTATTTCATACATATTATAAATATTTTTATGGGAAGTTTAGTCAAAATATTTACATATATACTTTATATGAAAATACTTATTGAAAGATTATGCCAAATTATAAATTAAATCACATATAGTTAACAATAAACAATTTTTTTGACTCAAAATTCATACAAACAATGAGAAATGTCAATATTATTGTATACCTTATGATAGATTATTATTTAAAATTTTATTAATAATTATTATATAACAAAATACAATAACTTATAAGCATTTATTTAAAAAGTTAGATTTTGATTTATTAAAGGAATAAATAGATATAAGTTATATTACATAACTAATGGAATATTACTAACTTATAAGCAAGGTCAATCATTAAAAATGTATAAATGGTTTATAATGGGTTTAATTTAGATAAAATTTGATCATCACTTTGTTTAGATATAATATTAACCATTTTAAAAAACAGTAAATATTTAACACTTTTTAATGAATTAAATATTACCAAAAACAACGCAAATGCCTAATATATTCATATATTTCAGCACATTATTTGAAACATATAATTTATAAAACAACTAATTTATAAATGCCTAATTATATTGCGTTAATTAAGCATATTATTTACTTTAAGCAATAACTATTTGATAGTTGGGTAGAAAAATATATAATTATCAAATGCTTAACTATTAAATACAATCGATTGTATTTTTCATTAAATACTGTATTATCTATTTGTTAACATTTATCTCAATGAGAATCAAACATTTAAAATATTGTCTATTATGTGTTTTGTTAAACAATATTGCACATTATTATACAGTAGTATAATATACACTATATTTAAATAAATTTTTATGTATAATTGTATTTTGTTATTTGAAAATCTTTTAAGACATCTCTTATTTAATTATTTCAATTAGAATTAAAAATATTGTTTTATAGATAACAATAAAAAATAGAGTTGTATATTATGTATTTATGGCAACTAAGGTCTGAGTTAATTAAAGATACAATTGATTGCTTTTAAAACAAACATTTCAATAATTTAAATGAAGATATTTTAGTGATTACCTTCACATACGTCTACAACACTATTAATGAATATTATAATAACTATTTATACTTATTATACAATGTGCTATCAGTACACTATTCAACTATTTCAGCCATCCCTATACCAAAAGTTATTATTCAATTAATTTATATAAAAAAGTTGTATTGAATGGGAAAGTAGTTATCAAACAAAATATCAACTCTTCTCCTCTCATGTATTGTTAATTTCTAATAATATAATAATGTGTTTGATTTGAAGGCATCGGGTCTTATAAAACTAAATGTGTATTAAATGGCAATATATTGTAATTAATGGATAATTTTGTTATGGATGTATCAGTCGCTTATCCTAACCAAAAGTAAGTAATGCTTTATTAAAATTTTTAAAGTGTTAGAAATATCTTTAAAAAATAAATAAAAAACATATATTTTTAATCATATCTTTAATCTGTTTTATTAACAATTTAAAATATATTTTTATAATGGAAAATAATTGGAAAAACGTACTGTATATAAGCGAGTATAGACTTATCATGTATGAAATCAATAAATACTGCAAACAAAATACAATAAATAACTAATTCAGTCAACAAAATACAAATACATAAATAAATCAAAAGAGATTTATTTTGTATAAATAATTGTTTACTAAAAAATATGGATAGTTTTAATGTAGTACTATATAAATAATATATCACATGAATTGTTTAACCTTGTTTTTTGCGGTAATTTAAATATATTTTCAAAAATCATATGAAAATAACAATAATAAATGACTGATTCACATGAGAAATGATGTTTTTATAATTTTGTATATAATTAAAAAATTAAATTATATAATACTGACACTTATTAAGATAATCATTATTTTTAGTTACATCACTCTTTAAAAACGAATAAATTATTCAATTATGTTTATAAAGAGTTAGCATATTGTTATTAAATTATAACTTTTAATTTATTAAATATTTTTTGACAAATAGACAAAAAATATATCCAAAAGAAAACATAATTAACAAAAACTAAATGTATAAACAAAACCACATTCAAGAATAGATTCTTAAGGAAAGTATTGATTCAAAAATAAAATCAAGAGAAGTGACGGGAATTTTAAAATCATTTCATTCATTCTTAACACACGTTATATTAATAATACAACTTCTCATAAGAAATCCGATATAAATTAAATGCAAAAACAAATACATTACTAAATAATTTATTAGACATTCAATTATTTTTATGTCTAAAACTTGTATTTTTATTTTATTCGTTTAAAATTCAAACTTCGTTTTTAAAATCTATTTCTGAAAACATATTAACATGTAAGCGTAGCTTTTAATATATTATATTAACTATGATTTTCACTATTTATACTTATCTTATAAAAATATTATCATTTGTTTAAAAAATATTGTAACAAAAATTCTAATTAATTTCATTATTTTTAATTTAAAGTTCAGAGATTTCCAAAACTGATAATAAAATTCATATGATATTAATAACGACAACAAAAACATATGATAAAGCGCTCGGAAAGAATATTAAAATAGGTTTTTTAGTTATTAAAATTTTTATTTTTACCTAAAAAATACCGAAATCTTTTATTAATATTAAAATAAATTTATAACACGTCACTTTAATGACTTAAATAAATGAGTTTTATATTTAAATAGTTGATTATTTTTGAATAAATTAATTGATTAAACGAATGGAGATTAAACTCTTCAGAAGAAGATCTTGTTTTTATATTTACATTATTTCTTATATAACCTGTAAATAAACGCAACATGATTAATTTGTTGTAAACATAATATTTGTAAAAAGACATGGATTATATAACAAGTATTAGGGTATTTATGATATAAATATTCCCACTAAAAAATTTACTCTCAAGGTTTGAAATATAATACTATTTTTGTAATAATCTTTTAATCTATACTTTGTTTAATACTTTCATTAAATGAATTATATTTTCATCACAATTATAGCAACAACTTTAATATATTTTGTTCATCAAATTTTTATATAAATTGGATTATATTTTAAAGTTTTAGTTGAGTTATAAATTTAATTAAATTTGTTGTGCTTTAATGCTTAATATTTTATCAAATTAATTTTTACTTTACTGTACATTAAATAAAGTAAAAATGAAGATCAGGTATGAAAATACTTATTGTGTTTGTATTTTACCAACAAATACCTACAAAAGTTATTAAATATTACTTTCAATGTATAAATAAAAAGTGTATTTCCAAAATGAATCCAAAAATATTTACACTTTAATATAGCTTCAAATACCACTGTACGTATTTATACATAAGCTGTGTTATACAATGCACGTAACAAAGCATATAGGTTTTGGTACCTTTTATGACATGC